TCGCTGCTCGTAGCCCCAGCTTTTCCTTTCACACATGTCCATCCGATACCACCTATTCCACTTAATACAATGCTCTCGGCCGAAGAGGATGTCCCTCTAGATCTCTCTGTACCGAGTCGTCGAAACACTGTGTGTAGCGACAACGAATCGCAAAAGACCATATCCGATTTGCAGTCTCCATTGTCGATTTACGGAAATCCAAGTAGTGAATGGATACCCCTTAAACCAGAAGCATCAATAAGCAACAACAGAATATCTTACCCAAGAGAGTTCAAGCTCATGGTTATCGATCACTACAAGGAGAATGGACAAAACAAGTACCGCACTTGTAAAAAATTTCAAATCACCAAGTCCATGCTAAACGGATGGTTATCAAAGGTACAGTATTCTCTTATAATCTTTCTTCTATTGCCATCTATAAGCATCTTCTTTACTCTCATGGATAAAAGTCATGATTTAAAGAACTGTTAAGTCAAGGTGAACTTGAGGATCGATTCTGTTCAACAAGCCCCATCATTACTGTAAGTGTTATTGAAACGTTTGGCCTAGTAGATCGTATATCAGTATACACTTCCAGGCTCTGAAGAAGGCGATACTGCCGAAACGTCAGCTAGTGTTGTACTGTATTGTGTTTTTCTATGGAAGTAAATGTATGCTGTTTAAAAACCTCGCGATTGCTGAACAAGAAAACGACACATTAATTCTAGTTTCCTATTACCAAAAGCTATTATGAAAGTACATGAGATTAAAGTACATAAAATGGTTGATCTAATACTTTATGTTATACCTTCTTATTTTCTGCCTACTATAATTTCGCGGCAGGGTACTAAGCGAAATACAACCGCAACGTTGCTGAGATATTTGCAAAACTCTGGACCGCAGGTGTCTATGGTGGGGAATGAACGCGCTATTGTCCTTTCCGGGGAGTAACGCGTTCACCACCACACCATGCGGGTCCTTCGTTTCGCTTGTCTCTCAGCTATTTCTATCGACTAATACTTTATACTTGATACTTCAATGACCCGTCCTCACTGGTTGTGCGTACCCCAGCATAATCTCCACTTTTCGAAGAATTGCTGGTTAAGCCATTTGTGATTCTCTAGAATCCCGAGGTCAGCTTGGCCAAAGTCTGCCCCAGGTCTCTTCACCACCACAGGCAGTCGCAGCCCTTGTGAATTAGAGGTAGATTTTTCACCATGTGACTTTGATACCAGGAAGGTGGTGGAACCCGGTATTGGTTTAACCTTAGTCGGGCTTCCTAATGGAGACGCCGGAATCATTCTTAGCTTAGGAGACCCTGCCAGGGGATGAGCCTCCCACTGTACACAGCAGTCCAACACCAGCCACGATGAGACGGTAAGCCGTTGGGAGGCTTGATCTAATATGTCCAAAAAATACCAAAAATAACCTATTTTTTTTTACCTTAGCTAAGTAAACTCCTACTTTTCCAGAGTTCTTAGTGAGAAACCTAATGTTTTTCAGCTGCACTGAAACCAAAGGGTTAAACTCTAGTGCTTTGTCTCCCTTAACTCAAATGAACAGCTTTCTGATGTACGGGCTCTCAACAAAAACAATAACCCGATCCATTAATACAATAGTAACAAGCTCCGTAGAAACACTGAAAGCAAAGTTGCTATACAAGACATTTCAACTTCAGTGAGACTAATTTGACTTCTTCAGATTGATATGATCCGAGAGTCACGACCTGGATCGCTGAAAACCGGAAGACGTCCTCAATTCCCAGAAATGGAACAACAACTGTTTTCCTTATACTCTGAGCGACTGAACATTGATGGAAGAGTTGGCAATCAATGGTTAAGAGAAAGAACCAAGGAGCTTGCTGGAGGTACAAGTGAAGTTTGTCAACTTTCTGAACGATGGTTGTATAACTTTAAACGGAAGTTTCGTATTAATCTTCGGCACGAAAAAAATTCATCCGCAGAATCCTGTTTCAAACATTCCACATCGATCGAAAACCATAGCTATTCACATATCGAAACCAACACTCTTACAGATCTTAGCAAATCAGAGGAAGAAATTCGCAAACTTGTCGACGGAATTGTGAATCAATCAGACCAACTTCCTATACATGCATTTTACGAAAAGTTCCCAAGCCTGTACAGGAGGAGACAAGTGGGACAAGGAAGACGAGGACGGAAAGTGCAATTTCATGGCGTTGAGCGGACGATCCATCAATGTCTGATTAAGAAACCAAACAGAGGAGAACCAACAGCGAATCGCTGGCTCCAAGCTCAAGCACGAAATATGGCCACTCAGTTTTGCCCAGAAAAACCAGATCAAACCCTAAAACCGCACCGTTGTTCTTTTCCGAGCTCCGGCAATTTAATTTGAAGAAACACTAAGGCATCACGCTCAAAAACAAATCGACAGATATTTTATTGAGTTTAGGCCTCTATACTCAAATTAACACGAAACAAGTGTTGCTTTCAACTGGTACCATGGTTGCCAACCTTAACATAATCCACTTCCGGAACCGGTTCAACTAATCCTAGATCAAGATTACTAGGCGCACTATACTCCTGTCCCTATGTTCTTATGACATTATTTACCACTCACCTGTGAAGGAAATAAGTGGGCAACAATAATTTGGTATGTCACAAAAACTGGTTTTCTCTTTGCTAAATAACTTATTTCTCTGTAATAAATCTGGAATTAAGGTGCAAGTTGAACAAACTGAAATTGATAAGAAATATTTTGACAAAATACCAATTAGTAATTATCCAAAGACGGCTGATAGAAAGGTGAAACGAAGGACCCACATGGTGTGGTGGTGAACACGTTAGCCTCGGAAAGGGTAATAACGACGTTTGATCCCCGCCGCAGACACCTGCGGTCCGCAGTTTTGCAAATACCTCGGCGTCACTGTAGTTGTATCTCACATCAAACCCTGCCATGGAAAAAATAGGCAGCAAATAAGAAATTGATTACATTATTCATTAGTATTTAACCCATGAAACAAGAGACTTGTTTTGTTCAGTACAGACGTTCAATGTAAACATGTAATATCTTCCATGAAAATAAAATGAGCTAATTCATGAGTTACATTTCGCGACAGAACACGTGAAAGAAAAGCAGATTTCGATTTCTACAATAACCCTTTGTATTGAGGGATATACCAGACACGATATACAGTCCCCACAATTTTCAATTAATAGGATATGTAATGTGAAACCTAGTTCAGGATAAAGGATAGAGGATAAAGCTCTCGGCGTTGATCAATCGCTGAGGGATGCGCCGTGCATTCGACACCAATAAGCATCGTTGGAGGTAACTGAATGTATAACTGGCGTTTACAAGGACTCGCGCTGGCTTACCGATGTACCAAGCCAGTGCTATCCTCCTAGACAAGTCTGTTACCAATTTGCCGACACCGGAGGAATAGATGGCTTGGCGAGCCATGGGCGCGGGGATCAATTCCACGTGTGTGTTGCAGAGTCTTCGACCACTGCGCCACACGCGCCCTTATGAACCATAGTAACAGATAGTAAATAGCAGCGTACATATCTTTCATACCCATGAAACGATAGAGAAACGTTTCTTTCACAACTCTGTCATGTTGAAAACCCCTAAAGCAATCTGGTTTATTGAAACAACACTTCATCGTCAAAAAAAGGTATGTCCGTAGCCGACAAAAAATTGCTCGTAATCGGCTAGGCTAACCACGAAACATGGTAGCGGAACGTTATTGGTTGGGCCAAATATTCCACGAGTAACTATAAAAAGAGTTTAGTGACGGTAACCGTAAAATTTCCGGAATTGGTACCTAAAATTTAATTTCTAGGCAAAATTTTCTTGTACGCATGTAGTATAGCAACACATGGGAACAGCAGTAATTAGACCTCGTTCAATACATACATGGTTGCTGGTTCTACACCGCAGTGAGCCAATCAAGCCCTCATCCCTCTGAGCTTGTCAGTTGGTATCGATGACTCGGCAACGGTCCTTCTGAGTAACCCCATATTCTCAGTGAAAATCAATTCGACCAGCAATCAACGTCACTCAAAAAGAAATCCTCAAGCAGCAGCCGACTCGACACGCAAAACACGAAGATCCTCGTGGAAGATGGACGTGAGAGAATGAAATGAATGAAAGGACTGCTGGGATCCTTGCAATGAATGTATGTGAGGACGGGATACAATCAATAATTGCAAAGAGGAATGGAAATGAATAAATTTAGATAGACAGATAGTAACAGCACACTCTTATGTCTGCCTAATCCTGTTTAGAGTTAGGACGTATCTTAGGAGAAAGTCAGCAAGTCACTTAAAGGAGAGGGATGTTGGTTCATCAACGTATATGTGGTCAGTCAGCAGCCAATAAACGGTACATGTTTTTTTAGCTAAACGCTGAACCAGTAAAGGCGAGCCCCTATGATGTCGCGCCAGGAGAAAACCCATAAGAAGTGTGACCGTCCACTGTGACGCTATCCCAAAATTCGGGTCAATCACGACATTTCTTACACATTTCCCCAACGCGTCCAGGGACGCCCACACAAAAGGTCTTTGCTGGAGCTCAGTGATTCCAAATAAGCCGGATGTCATCGCTCAACGTGAACATGGACACACGAACATCAAAGCGCTGAAGAGAAGCTGCTTGGAATGAATCGAGACAGGACCGGGGGTGGAGGGGTCGATGATGGCATCCAGAGAGGCGCGGCGTCGGCGTCAGTTGTACCGCGCGCTTTCATCTCGCCGCCACATAGGCTCCGACCACGCAGCGATCCGAATTCAAACTCGACCGGCAAACCAAACCAGCCTACCGCGCTACTGAAAAGCGGTGCCGACCCGCAACGGGGCCGCAATAGCGCCAATAGAATCAATGTATTAATAGGTCCAATAGAAAGTCGATGACGCAGTTCTCTCAGTTATAAAACGGAACCAAAGCTTGAGAGTGCTGAAAGTTCAGTCACGCGATACGACCAAAATAAATGAGCAGGTGGATCGGTGCGTTTCTTTAGGTTCAGGGTAAACAATATCAGGTCACGAGCTACAGTACTATTTAAAAACCACAAACTGCCTAGACTAGACGTATGTTACGGACGCGAAAGGACAGAGAAATGTCATGTAATCACTCCGACGACAATGCAGCATTGCGCGCACCGAATAGACCCATTCTGTCGTTAAATGCGTGGAGACGCGACGCTGTTTCTCCGTAGAGCACGAAAACCGGTAGTGAAAACCACCCCTGATTTCAGAGTCAAGGAACATAAGCTTGTCTCCTTTTGCCTCTCGATTCAAATCTAGCTTTCGTCGTATTCGCCTCTATTTCACTTTACGATGAACTGTTAGAAAAACCTGCACTTCTCCGTTGCGTTTTTTCATGCTCTTCATGTTTTGAATTGCCCTACAATTTCGTTGTTTTAACGCGAAACTTATTTTCCTCGGTAGGTATCGTGCAACCTTTTCCAGACGTTATGCGAAATTTTCGGTCTTTACTTCGAGGGTTTCTGCGGTGCTTTTCGCAAAGTTCCTCAGTCATCTCTTCGCCATACGATGCGACTACGGACCTCAAACTACTCCTTCCATCAGATTCCTTCATGAAGAAATTCATACGACGTCCATCTCATCGTGAAAAGCTTTCTTCATTGATTTCTGAACTTCAGGTAAGTGTTTTTATACACAGATCTCAGTAAATGTTTCCACTGTGCACTACGAAAATGGGCGTGTGTGGTGCAATGGTCGGAGACGTCCTGCGACACACATGTGGAATCGATCCCCGCGCCCGTGGCTCACCAAGCCCTCCATCCCTTGGGGACTACATTTGCTACCAGACTTGTCTGGGAGGATAGTAGCACTGGTTTGATAGGTCTCCGCGGGTCATTGTAAAGGCCAGATATGCGTTCAATCACCTCCAACGGTGCTTAACGACGTCGAATGCATGGCGCATCCCTCAGGGGATGATCAACGCCGAGAGCTTTATTCTTCTTATCCTTTTTCTTTTTTAACCACGAAAATAGCTATCACCTATATCACCTGTAGCCCCGTTGATCGTCGAATGATTCAAGCGGCGCCAGTAAATCTTCCATCTTTCCCTGTCGCGTGCAAGAGTAGCCCAGTGGGTTCTGCTCACTCTAGGGAGGGACATCATATCTTTCTTCAAGGCTCTTTGTGAAGAACTCTGAACCATCGGGTCGGTGGTCTTCCTACAATACGTTTGACATCCCGAGGAATCCAGTCATTAACGGCTCATGTCCATCGGTTGTCATTCACACGCATTACGTGTCTGGCACACCTTATCTTCGACTGTTTGGCGTACAGAACGGCATTTTTGATTTCTTATCATTGATGTAGGTCGAAGCTTCGGATCCCATCCCTTACTTGCGTGGAACGGGATACTCCTAGCATCGTCCTTTTGACTGCGTGTTCGATAACGCTGAGTGAGCTGTCGTCCTGCTTACGCAACGACCAGGTTTCTGACGCATACGTTAGGGCAGGAGGTACTGTAAGCTCCCCAAGCTGCTTGTTTCCTTCTGCTCAGCTTTGGAGCTAGGTTGTTCATCATATTGATTTCCCGACCTAGATAGATATAACTGGAGCATTCGGAGATGTCCGTTCCGTTGAGCGTGAATAGGGCATACGAAACCAATCCGTTCTTATGAACATCGTTTTTGTGAGATTTAGTCGAAGACCGATCTTTACACAGGCTTTATCAATGTCGTCAAGCAATCGTTCCGCTTGGCTAATGTTTGCTGTTATAAGGACGATGCATTAGCAAAGTGAAGATGATGTAACTGCCGACCATCGATTTTCACTTCCATATTTTTCCATTCCAATGTTCGCATGACGTTCTGGAGGGTGGCGGTAAATAATTTTGGCGAGATGGTATCGCCTTGCCTAACTTCTGTTTTTGAAGTCAATGTTAATATCTTTGTAGAATGGTGTTATCTTGGTTGTGAAATTTTTGTACAGCTCAAGAACAATCTTTATGTACTAAGTAGGGTTTCCAAGACTTTTTCTATCTCAACTGAATCAAAGGCCTTCTGTAAATCTATGAAAGTGAGACACAGCGGTCTTTTGTACTCTTGCGATCCTTCAGAGAGCCGTGTTGCCGTGTGGATGTGATCCATAAAATCACTAAATCCTCTTCGAAACCCTGCTTGCTCACATGGCTGTCCTTCGTCTAGTGTTCTATCAATCCTGTTTAGGATGACTCGAGTGAAAAGTTTGTAAACGACAGACAGCAGGCAGATTGGGCGATAGTCGTGGATATCGTGTAAGTCACCCTTCTTGAACAATAACACGTTCTTGTTGCTCTTCCACTGTGTGGGGACCTTGCATTCAGACAGGTAACATGTGAAGAGCCGAGCCAGTGTGTTTACGAGGACTGACGGAAGGTTCTTCAGGTGTTTTGGTCCTATCCTGTCCGGACCTGGTGCTGTTCGATTTTTCACCGACGAAATGGCATGTTGGACTTCGGAAGTGAGAACCGGTGGTGCAGCATATCTATCCTCTTTATTTCAAATGACGGAACGTGGAAGTGGCTATCGAAGAGATCCGAGTAGTATTCGTTAACAATTTTCTCCATTGCCTTTCTGGACGCTGTAACTGTTCCATCTGGGCGCCGTGGTGCAATCATTTTGGTCTTGTAATTGGCGAAGCTTCGGTGGGCTTTGCGAATGCTTTTCCTAGCCTCTGCGGCTTCGACCATTGCCCCTGCTGTTCTCTCTTTAAGATGTTCTTTTATTGCCTGTCTGCATTGTTTTGCAAATTCGGATGTTAGCTCGAAGTTGCCTGTAGCTCGTGCGATTCCACGCTGGCGTATCAGCTCGAGAGTTTCTAGAGACACACGTCCCTTGGTGACTTTCGAACTCTCAGCTTTCTTAGCGCTAACGTGATGATATTGAATGAGCCGATCGTGTTCTTCATCGATGTTATCGACAACGCTTCCCAACAGACGACTAATGAATTGAATAGGTCCCAGTTTATAGTGATTCTGGGACTTCGGTTTTGGAATTTAGCGGCTTTTTCTCTTTTCCGAGGGAAATGGAATCTTGCACGAAGGAAACGATAGTCTGATTCCGTGTAGAATTTTGGGACAGTAGCGACATCGGTTAGACAAAACCTTCTATTTACTATGATGTGGTCTATTTCGTTATGGTACTCTCCACTGGGTGACTCCCACGTCTAGTGCTAAGGGTGGGGCTTCTGGAATTGCGATTTACCATGGATTGTCTTGGTAGTCATGACAAACTCAGGCAGCCGCTGACCCTGTTCGTTCCATTCTAATCCATGGGTCCTAATCTGACGCTCTTCGGACGTTCTTCTTGGTCCAATCTTGGCGTTGAAATCTCCAGTGATAACCTTTGAAGAATGTGTGGTCTTCTCTGTATAACTTCTCTAAGTCCGTATAGAACGCTTCGACTTCTTCGTCATAGTTTGATATCGACGCGTAAACGACGAAGATTGTCACGGCCGGAATTGATCCACGTCTTTTTAATCGTAAACGTCCGATTCGGGTTGTACGTTTTTCGAATGAATCGATGTTCATGGGCAAACTCGTGTTGACGAGAACACCGACGCCGCTGACTCCTCCACTGTTGCATGTTCCAAGGAACAGTTTTACACCGGTATCATAGACGGCGTTGAGAGGCTGGCGTCTTCTCGTCTCAGCCAGGACGATGACTGACGTCGTACTTTCTACTTCTTGTTTGCATGAGCAGGTCTTCTGTCGAGGACTCGCATTCAAGTGTATGTGCATTGTAGGTACAGATAATCACCATAGTTCTTTGAAACCTAGGTAGCTTCCATTGGCTCTGAGATTTCATCAGCCTTTCCGTACTCGTCCTACCCAACGCTGCGAAATTGGGGGCTCTATCGGGTTCAGGGGAATGAGGTCCGGTTTTTTTTACTGTTTAACATTTTTGATACCCACGTATAGCTTGCTGAGCTCTGGACGAGGGGGCTGGGTATACTCACGGGTAGCTTGTCAGGCTCTACCAGAGTGGACATGGAGCTTATTTGTTGGAGGCGACTGCTAACCGCCTCCCATATACTTTCCAGTTACTTGACTGCAGGCTTTTGGCCGAACTGGTCGTAGAATACGATCCGCATAGGCGAGAACGCACTCATACACGCATTCATGAATACGCCTTGCAAATACAGAAAGTATGTGCCAAATCAGCGCAGCAGAAACAGGGAGTCCATCTTCTGGATCCACTTGCGTCTCTGGGAAGCAAAGGTCACTTTTGGTTTGCGATTAACCCCTTAATCCACCACCTGGGGACGCGCCATGTAGCCTCGCGACTAACCGGCTCGAGACCCCTCATATGAGGGAGATCCATGGGCGAAAATACCATTGCTTAAAATTGTGTTTAAGAATTCTATGCTCATTGGATTGCTTATCCGTTCGATTCACAAATCAGTTTAGATGTTTTCGGAATTTTTTGGAAAGGATTCTCTGCCAAAATTCGACGATTCGATCTGGTCCACATATTTCAGCATATGGTCAGCTGAGGAACGCTGTGATTTTCTCAATGATTTGAGACTTCAACAGAAGAACAGAGTGTCAAGGAGTATAATAGCCGACAAGGTCGGCAAGTGAACGGGCGGGAGATTTGACATCATCGAGGAAAAGTTAAGTTTTGTAGATATCAGCGTTAGGACTGCACGAAACAGACGACGGGGAGTTCGTGTCTGTGGCCAGATCCCACAATTTCATTGAACTTCGTGGTCAAGATTTTCGAAGTAAGTGAAACATTTCAAAACCAACTTTCCTTTAACCTCGGCATGACTAATCAATATGTGTTCTCTCATTAGTAAGCTTACACGAGTTTGATATACAATTCTATTCGGCTAACGTTTCGACGTCTTCATCTTCATCAAAGCCAATGATCCGAGTTGATGGTCCACAGTTGTTAGCCTTCTCGATGTGGCGTCTTCCATCAATCGTGGAGGCTTGAGTGGGGACTGTGTACGTTGGCTGTTGAGATGTGTTGTGTTGTATTGTTCTAATGTTGGATTGGTGAGTTGTATTCCTCTGCCAAGCGAGACTTTTTATCGCACCACGAACAGCCTCAAACTTGGGTAATTGGTTCAGTGGGCATTGGTAAGCGAAATCTTTCTCCGTTTTATTCATCTTTTTTTATCAACCTTGTGTTAGCCTGATGATCCAGGAAGGTGAGCGAAATGTTTTGATTGTATTATTTGGGAATATTATTTTTAGGGCCATTTTTGTCGAAAATGAGTGTCTTGAGTTTTCTAGCGCTTATGGTTGTTTTATTTTAGGGGTCATCGATCGTATATATGGAAGTCGACTCCTGTCATTGGAAAGATGTAATGAGATGCTCCCAAAATTAGTTATTGATTGCCGATTTCTTGCAGAATTTAGTGCAACCGTACAGTCATCATTTACAAGGTACTGATCATTATTAAGCCATTGTAGGTTTCGTTTAATTTCAAGCTTCTTAGAGACTACCCTTTTAGGCAGATTCAAGCCCTTCATGACAGCAACTGGACTTCCCGCATTCCGTTCGCTATATCATTAGCTAACTTCCGCCCTGATGGGCAACTTGCTGAGATAGTCAAGAGTTAAGTCGTAAGTAGTAAAAGAGAGATAATTAAGGAATATGAGGAAAATATCCTTTTTTGTGGAATTGTGCGCTAGCAGGTGTAGTGGACAGCATGTGGTCGTCCGTACATACATGGCCAATATTTGCATCACCTCGTTTATTTTTCCATCGAAGTAATGACTGCTGTTTTAATATGAAGGAAGGCAGTCGCATTATTTGCTTGTTTTTATGTTTCGGAATCTTAAGGACTTTCAGACCTTAGCGTCTGCTGTAGTTTTCAGGCATTTATTTTTCCATTATGGTCCATCATCTCTTGCGACTTCCTTCTCTGCTCATCCGTTTGCACCCACTTTGACCGCTAGAAGTGTTTTAGAAGCATGTGGTGTGAAGAGTTCAGGTGAAACATGTCGATCACTCTATGTACATTAGAACTTTTGTGTATTTGGATGACACAAAGTAGTAACTTTTCTATCTACTTCCTATTACAGTTTTTCACGGCAGCTTATTACGTGTGATGCAACCACAATGATGCTGAGAAATTTGCAAAACTCAGGACTGCAGGTTTCTGCGGTGGAGAACCAACACGCTATTACTCTTTCCGGAGCCTAACGCGTTCACCACCACACTATGCGTATCCTTCATTTCGCCTGTCTCTCTGCTAATTTTCTACGTACCAGTGCCATTCATCGAGTTCATTGCCGGTTTGGGTTCCCCAAATCATTCCCTTTATCGGGTGATTGCTGTTGGCACTGGTAGATAGAAAACTTGCTGAAAGAAAGGCGAAACGAAGAATCCGAACTGTGTAGTGGTGAACGGGTTGGCCGGCAGAAAAGGCAATAGGGCGTTCGTTCCCGGCCGCAGACACCTGCGTTCCGGAGTTTTGCAAATATTTCAGCGTCATTGTGGTTGCATCACACAAAGTATTAATACCTTTTTGCCTACCTGTTATATGTTCTAAAGTAATGAGTCTGTTGGCAGCTTGAATTTAGATGTGATGTATATTTCTTGGCGTGCAACTAGGTTCATTCCTGAAACACCTCCTTCCAATATTCGTGCTGTTGTTGTATGTGCAAGTAATGACTTTCAACCTTGGTCAAGCAGCGTATCGGCAGCTCAGAAAGAAGGAATCAATGCTTATCGTCTTCCAATTGAGCGATATATTCGGTAACCGTTTTCGTCTTCTCCACACGTTTTTACCTTTCTTCCTTCAATTTCTTTCTAACATACTTTAATCCCTTTGTTGCTTCTGGTTAAAAAAAATGTGTACTTTACAGCCCTACAGAAAAGAGAAAATTTTTCTCTCTGCGGGAAACGTCTTCAATTTTACGTTCGTATTTTTGTGGTGATAATCTCGATACGGTAATTAGCAAAGTTATTGGATCATTACCGAACAAATCTCATCATTACAGTGATAGCACTGAACGGGATTTACTTCAGGTAGCATTTTATCCAATTGCTCGGTGTTTTGTTACCGCTTCTTTCTAGTGCTACAAGAATGCCATCATAATGGCTGCTGAGAGGACCAAAGAAGAACTTACCAACAATTACTCGAAAAAATCAAATGATTTCCAAATGTTACCAAAAAAGTCGGAAAGGACACATCGATACACAAGGGAAGAAAGGAACAAAATGAGGCAGAGTGCTGGACTGAGTACTTAGAATCCTTACGTTTGGATTGTTGTTGGTAATGTGAAGGTGCAAGAAACGTTTACAAATAAAAGAGGTCTTAAAAGTTCCGCCATGTTTTCATCATGTTCTTGGTGTGTGTTACGTGCAATTGAGCTTTTCAATTATTTGTGCATTGAACGGATGCACTTCCCACTCTTTGGTTATGTATAGTCTTAATTCGACACATGCGATCCAGAGTTTTGCAAATATCTCCGCAACGTTGTGGTTGTATTTCGTACCCTGCCGTGATAATTGTAGTAGGCAGAAAATAAAGGATAAAACATCGTGATTTCAACTACATCCTCGGCTTAACTGGGTTCAATGCAGATGTGTGCTCTCCAGATCAACCCCGCTGGCGGGTGATTGCTGTGGCAAAAAGCTCGATAGTCTTAAATTCGTTAGCGAACCTCCTTTATGGACAACAGTGCCAGCCCTTGTACATGTTCCATATAGCGATTTCTGGTTTAGGAAGACTTTCCTCCAAGAGTCACGACGAATTCATTCTTACCGTCTTCAGGTTGTCACCACAGGCAGTTAGTTGAAGGTCATCTTGGATGAGAGGGTGTTTACAATCTTTAAACCAAACTTCTTTAGAGATAGGAGTGATTCTCAACATTGCTCCTTATCACGGCTTTTTGATCGAAATGATGTGTTCTTTCTCAGCTCAGGTGATTCCAGTGGTGATGAAAGTGGTACACATCGTGTTCGTTCAGATGCTAGTCACGAAGAAGCCATGAATTATTGGGAGGAGGAATCATAAATTATTAGATCAAATAGTTTAGAAACACTTTTTGTTTGCATTACTGCATGAATTTTCGTGAAGGGGTTATGCGGGTGTCGTTTTATCGCCTTGTGAATGTCTTCATAGGAATTCCCTACTTGGTGGATGGGATCTTCTAACGTGAGGTTTCTCCTTGCCCGTCGTATCTGAGAAAAATTATAGTTAGCAAACGAGCGACAAACACGTCTACTTATCGGTCAGTTATTCTTAACTGTAGCCGCTTGATAGTCCCATGAGTGAACTACCCCTTTTTAACGTAACAATGTTATGTTGGAAAACCGTGCTTCTTGAAAATTTTATTTGTGTATTGTCAAAATAATTCCACTAAGTGTGACAATGCTCATAATTACAGAGAACATCTGTCCATCTGCCGCGCCGTCCAATACACACAGGATTGATTCACGCCCCCTAGGTCCACTAAACTATCCATCCCTCCGGGTGGCCAGATTGGTAGCAGGCTTGTCTGGGAGGATAGCAGCACTGGCTCGATACATCGGTAGGCCGCCGCGAGTCGTTGTAAAGGCCAAATATGCATTCAGTCATCTCTAACAGTGCTTAATGCAGTCGAATGCATGGCGTATCCCACAGAGATTGATCAACGGCGGGGGCTTTATTTTATTATACTACATGATGTAGATTATGCACTAATATCTGCGTGAATATTGCGACGTTTTCTGAACAAATTGCGAAGAAGAATGTGGAGTAGCGACCATCCGATCGTTTGCTTACTTTACTGAGCAGAATTGATGTTCGACACAGAAATGGGTCACGAAGCTGTAAAGAATCGGAGAGAGCTAGGAATGGTTTAGATCAAAGGTCATTTATAGGCCTTCAAATAATGGGTGAATTGAGATTACTTTATAGTGTTGTATAATTGTGTGGTAAAGACTGAGGGTATGATATCAATAACGAAAAGAGCCACGGGTGATTGAAGTGTTGTAACAGCTCCACGATGCCAACTAATACGTTACACTTTCTGCGCTCGACCAGAACAGTGGTTGTGACCGAAATCCGAAATGCAAACAGAGTCCTATTGTAATTGCCGCCTACTATTCAGACAACGTTGTAATGTTCAGGGAGCAATTCGCAGGGTTATCATGGTGGAAATCGTCGTAATTCTCATATGAACACCAGCTTTGTCTAATCTTTTCGTTGGTTTCGTTGAGAGTTCATTTATGCTGTTCACTTCGAAAGCAGATTGGAAGACTGATGAAGGTCGCTGTTCCATTCAAATGCCTTCCTTTGTGTCTCTACAGTGGTGTATCGTGAATAAATTCGAACATACGGTGTCTTCTCGTCGGACTGACTTCCTGATGGAGATGGTACTAATACACTGTAATCGGTTGTACGGCAGGTGTGATACCATTCGGCCATAGTTCTTATGTGGAACGAATTTTTTCGCGGAAAGATAAGCGTGGCTGAATAGTTTAGAAACTGGCATGCAACGAATGTCTTGAGAGAGGGGGAGTGGTTTCAACACTGCTGTTCACAAATCGCTCTCGAAGTCTAATTTTTTCTTTATTAAGTTAACTGTATGAAGTTCCAAGTCTTCCAGTCTACGGAAGAACAAGTCGTAACACGAGTTCTAGACACTGTGCCAAATACAATTAGCGTCATTTGTGTAAGTGTCCACTGCATCGTAAGAGTTCGCTTGAGCGAGAAGGTTGGTACTACATGGTAGACACTGCTGTTCATTAGCGCCAACCGTTCCGCAATTCCTTTCTCGTGTCAAAAATTAACTTTTTGATTTGTTGCAGTAGGAACAATTGAACACTTGACTGTAATCGGTTGTAACGTAGGTGCAATAGTATCCAGCCATAGTTCTCATGTAGAACGAATTTTTTGGCTGAAGGATAAGCGCTGACTGAATGGCCTAAAAATAACTACAATGATGCTGAGATATTTTCAATTAGCATTGTTATCAGCATATTATCGTTTTAACACTTAGCGCACTTAACACACTGAATTTACATGGCTGAGAGAAAGGCTAAAGGAAGGACTCGTATGGTGTGGTGGTGAACGCATTAGACCCCAGAAAGGATAGTAGCGCGTTCGGTCTCCACCACAGACACCAGCGATTTGAAGTTATACAAATATCTCAGCATCATTATGGTTAGATTGAACTTAAAATCGTTTGTTCAGAGTTCCTAATTGCTGAAAAGATCTGCGGCCCCATTTTTTATCTAAGCGTATTTTTACGCTTGCCGCCGTGAAGTTTACTCTGGATGGAGGTTCTGCTTCAATTGTCTGATTATGGAATACATTTCTGCTATGGCTAGCTTTGGTATCGGGTAATTCTTGAGACGAGTGAGAAGGGCGACAGTTTTTTTCCTCATCGTTAGTTACCGAAATCAGCCAACGAGTCGTCAATGCTAACGCGCAGAAGCGACTCATGATGTAGTCCTATAAATGTTCCAAGTATATGATTCAAACAACCACAATAATGCTGAGATATTTGCAAAACTCCGGACCACGGGCGTCTGCAATGGGGAACGACCGCGATGTGGTGGTGAACGCGTTAGCCCTCGTAAAGGGTATTAGCGCGTTCGTTCCACACCGCAGGCACCTGCGGTCCTAGGTTTTGCAAATGTCTCACCATCATTGTGGTTGTATCACACATAATACCCTGCCTTGAAAAATTGTAATAGGCAGTAAATCAAAAGTTAACATGTATGATTCAAACAATCTCTTATGTCCCTTTTTACCATTTACCGCAAGTTTCCTTGTCTATGGTGCAACTAATGAAATTTCAAGTTCAACTTCTGCTTAGGTTGTGCTATAGCCCTGAATTTTAACGGGAAAAAGCCGCATTTTCATCACAAATTCACCCGCTCTAAGAACGATATGATCCAACTGAGTGGAAATGTGTTACGTAGATGTAGCCCACTCCCTCATCACAGTATATTTACGTACTTACCCAAATGTCCCATCTTTACATGTCATGCGAGTTTTGGCACTACCTCTGTTAGTTTCATCGTCTAGGATTCGCCATCTACAGAGATAGTCCAACTGGTACATGGCTTCGGCTGTAATGTGTAGCTATTTTATCTCCGGTAATTGACATATTGGATGATGGTCGAGGGCGGTTTTCTTCTCTGAAAACCTGAGATAGTTGGGCCTAGGGCGTTCTCAGGAGGTATTGCTAGCCTCCGTGGAGAACCTTTGACAACGACAACGAAGTAAAATAAATGGAAGGCTTACTGTTGTAATCTGAGTGATTAGACCCACAGTAGCAAACTTTTCTCCGTGTGAGCTAAATAATTTGGGTTCTTTTGGAGCCCTGTCTTTTATTCCGGAGTTTTGCTCAAAGAAACACCGGTTCTCACACTATAGTTTGGCGCCTTTTGACTGTTAAACTTGGAGTTGTCACTGTTTATTATTCCTGCTATGTTCATCGTCTTTATTATCATTCATATTATCAATTGCCATTACTGCTACAGGTATTGTTGTTGTTATCACCATCATTGCTTTTAATTGCTTTCATTATAGCAGTTTAATTATTTATTTGTTTATTCGTTTATTTACCATTATCATTACCAATGTCACAATCGTCATCGTTGTCATTATCACTATCCTTGTCATCATCATTCTCGTTATCATTCTCATCACTATCTTTATCACTATCATTATTATCATTGATTATCATATTATCATTGAGCCGGCGACCGAACAAACACATCGCGAGGACGAGTACCTGTGAGCCATCGACTTGAATCAATCGGGCTCTAAAAAAGACGAACGCGTTGAGACACCAGCGAAATAAAACTTATCATCAGTATCATGTTTTCTTAATAATCCGAGGGACTATTGCCAAAACATATACATTTTTTTTATTTTTACACAAATCATATAAAAGATATTTTTCGTGGAATGTTCTCTACCTTTCACTTCAGCATCTCTTGTACCAGTAATGTATAAGCATTTATTCTTCCTGTCACGTTATCTGTTGTGTTATAAAACACTTGACATAACTTCCTTCGGTTGCCCAACATTTATATTCCTTTTTAACCATTCACATATACATCGCTACAAATCA